CCAAGTCCACTGTCTGATGCTGTGAACATAACAACTACTATGGCAGGCGACTTCGGACTAGATGAATCCTGCTGACACTCACTCTGACAACAAGACCAAGTTGCGACAACGAGGTCAACCCACTTCTATACAATTATCAAAGTTTATTGTTACTTTTTGTAAGTAATAGGATATATGATCACCCTACGGAGAACTGCAGTCAATAGCCTAAATAAATAAACTCTGAGCCTTAATAGGTCTTAGAAATTGTCTCGGAGACCCAACCAAAGGAGCGGTGAAAAAACAGGTGATATTTAACTAAACAAATAGAAATTTCACCTCTGGTAAAAATATGTTTCCTTAACAAATTAGAGGAAAGCATTTTAGAGAAGAAAATAAGTCTCAGGTACTAAATAATGCATATAAAAAATATTGTTCAGCCAACAGGCTTCAAAGCGAAACGAAAAGTGTGATCACAATTTAAGGCGCTATACATTTATGCACATAGGTTAAACTTAACGATTAAAGGTACAAAGCCTGAATACAGGGAACTGGGCTATGTCATAGCATTGAGAGAATTACCTCAGATAAATAAGGAAAGCCAACAGAGTGTGGAAATAGAGTTAAAAGTATTATTAATAGTATATAGGGTGTATCTACCTTTGATAAAATAATTTGTGCAAATGCCAGTATCTAAATGCAGGCAAGACAACAATGGAACCTAAGTAAAGCGCGATCTAGCTTAATGAGGTAACCATTTACAACAAAAAATTAATACAGGTTTATGCGTATTTTTATATAAACTTTTATGAAAACTGACTAAGACATATATAAAATTAACCAGCCATTTTTGGAATGGTATATAAGAAATAAAAGGTATAAATAAGTCTGAAAGCAAGTGATAATTCGATTGGAAAAGGTGTCATGAAAATTTATATCTAGATACCGCAGTATATGCCATAATGACGTACCAAGATAATAGATACGAACTCACAGAAGCAAATTCATTCTTAATAGTCATACCATAGAATGGAGTTAAGACAGAGCAGAAATGTCTGTTTCATTAAACTAGATAGGACAGTGTTGTATAGATAATACACAATTTTTCGGTAAATGATATAATGAAAATAAATCAAAAGGCCAAGCCTTCTCTTGGATCGATTATGAAAATAATAACTGAACGATACGGAACACCAATCTATAAGATATCAATTATTTCAGTTATAAATAAAAAATGATCTAGAGGAAATTGGCGGTCCACATGTTAAAAAGCGGATTTTAAAAGAATACTTAAAAAAATCTGTGTCGCTCTCATTATGTCGAAGCAATATGCACTCACTTGAAGTCGGCTGAGATCCCGCTCTTTGACTTGATTTAGCAGTATTCTTTTCTTGCTGAGAACCCCAGATCCAAGACCAAAATCCACGAAGCGTATTGTTTTTTGAAGAGTTAGTTCCATCCGAAGGGTCAAAATTGGAGCTTTGTGTTCCAGGCGTTTCGGAGGAATGACAAGGATCAAAGTTTTGGGTAAAGGAATTTGAGCTGTGAGAGCCACTAATTTCGCCGCTCGCAGAACTTTGATTAGAAAAGGCTATTTTGCCTATGTGAAGACTGAGACCAGAAGCGCGATGAACACCCGGTAAGCAAAGCGGAAGTTCAATACGAAGGCTCACATCCCTCATTACAATGTTGGTTTGTGCAATAACTTTTAGTCGAAAAAAATTGAGATGCAATCCAATGCAAATTATAAGGAGCTTTAAACGTTAATAAAGCTAATATTTTCGTAAAAACCTCACATTTTTTAAAGTCTTGATCAATTAATTACTACATACTTTAATATCTTGGTTACAAGCAATATATAATTAGGTTTACAAATGCCACAAATAATATCTTCAATTAGGCTTATTAGGCCGTTTTTAAAAACTATATAAAGGAGTAATATAGATACTTTTCCTACATTCTAAAATTAATTCGAGGGTATTTTATCCAGGAAACCACAATTAGTAAAAGAAATCATAATAAAAAAGCAAAATATATAGAACGGTAACGTAGAATATAAGAGCCTAGCAAATATGTATGCTCAGTGTTAGCTAAAACATAATAATACAGATATAAACAAATAAATAAAATAATATATATGATACAAGCTTAAGGGATAGCTAGATGGAGGCGAATAAAAAATAGACTGGATTATGGAATGTCAATAAAAGCTGCTAAACGAATATAAAGGAAATATTATCTGAGAAATAGTAAGACAAAATATTTAAAAGAATAGAAGTAAATGAGCATAAAATTGCAATGTCTATAGTTACAGATACTAATGTGTGGCTCACATGAATCGATAAGGCGAGCAGCATGATCCATACTAGCCTGATCTACAAAACTCGTTATATTATCGGAATTAGAACCCAGATTTTCCGCAACTTCAGCAAGCTTTTCAAAAAATTTTTTCCCACGGTGTACAGGTTCTGGCGGTTTGTGGTCTTGATCGCTCTTGGGTTTTAAATTATTTATATCTTCATTTTCCTCTCTTGGATCGAGATAGTCTTCATAATCAAAGAAAGTGGAGCTGGGCCCTTCAAGATCCATGAATGAACTGCCCTCTCCAGCAGCACTAACTGCAAATGCCGCAGCAGCAGTCACACTTGATATCATTGAACCAAAATCTTCTAATAGGAAAAAAAATAAAACTAGCTGAAAATATATGTGCGAAATCAATCATATATAAGTATAAACCTACAAAACTTTCGAGTGCCTAGTGTGCATGTACCCTATTGTGGCATGACTCCATTTCGAGATGAAAGTTGGTTGGAAGGAATTCGCGATGTGGTCTCACCAGTAACCGAAGGAGGATCGTCGCGTAAGGAAGACTTTCGAATTGTGCGAAGAAGTCACCGGTTCACCTTCGCACTATTCAACAGTCTTCCTTACGCGAAAATCCTCCTTCGGTTTCCGGTGAGACAACATCGCGAATTCTTTCCAACCAACTCTCCCTTCGAAATGGACAGTCATGCCACAATCTTTCATTAAGAAATTCATCGAGACCCAGTTTTTCTTCATACATGTACACTAGTCTTCATATATTTTTTTACTGCAGGTAAATGATGCCATACAATGTACGAGAAATGCTAATGCAAAAAAAATTTGTATCAAGTTAAAATTCATGGCAGTTCTGTAACGACTCGTAGTTATTTAAAAAAAATGTGGATTCGAAAATTCTAAGCTTCGTGGATTTCGTTGCACTTAAGTAGCATAAAACGGCTTAGATTCAATTCTATCATAATAAATGGCAATCTATTATATTCAAAAACTGCTGCCATAAAGTCGGGTATCTTTATTTATATAAAAAACATCTATAGATAAAGTACAGCTTAAGGCCCTCTTTACCATTTTAAATAGATAAGAGTATTTATCAACCACTCTAACATGATAAATAAATAGATAATTTAAGCTCATACTCAAAAAGTTAGAAGGCTAAGTAATTGTATGAGACTAAATATATGCCTGCTCAACTAGCCTTGATCTTAAAAATACTTTTCGAATAAAGTGACGTAAACTAAACATAAGATTAGATAGCTAGAATTTTCAAAATGGATTTGCCATTTATTACACGATTTTATACCTGTAAATTGCATAGTGTGGCGTGATGATGGCTGCAGGATTATATCCATTCCATTTATTTCAATTAATTTAGACATGTTTAAAATTATTTCGGAAGCGTAAGCCACACAAAATATAAGTGGTATGCATTTTTCAGAAAGAATCGCATTGAGCTTCTAAAATTAGAGGGTTTATGTGCTAATATAGTCACATACATCAATGTTGAGATATACATCGCGACAACCGATGCATTTTGTGGATAAAATGACATGTTCGTCATCTAAAGGGTGTGACAAAAATGCCCCAAATAAATGGTTCAAAAAAATCCTAATAGATTTCTTTGCAATATCGCTTAATGGCATTTCGATAATCTACGACATAGGGAGAATTTACGAAAAGACCTCTAAACCGATCATCTGATAATTAATAGTAAATTCAAGAGCAAAAACACTAAAATAAAAAGCTAGAATAATAAATCTTATTTTTTTAAATAAAAAATGTTATATGGATACAAAAGAAGATATTTGAGCATATCTCGCGTTAGGCTTTGTTCTTTGACTATGCCCGGGGTCGACGAATTATATATAAATGTGAAATGCAAATTTAAAAATTACGAATATTCCAGTAAAGCAAATTTTAATTTCGTTTAGCTATAAAATTGTGAATAACAATTGCTTCACATATGTAATATCACAATCAATATGCTGATATGAATGAGATTTAATCTGAGGGACCTAGGTTTTTTTCTAGACTCTATAGAAACTGATTTGTGATATACTATAATCTATATTAAAAATAATGAGAAACTATGCTCAAAACTTTAAAAAATTTAGATGAAAAGTTTGGGAGGCTTGTTTACTTGACCACATAAATTATCCTTTATCAGTTAGTGCTCATCCTCATTACAAATAAGTTAGTACCATTTAATCTTGCTTTAAATATGATGACATTTTGAAAAAATAAAAGAAGGAATTTTATGTGACTGGCATGTACTGCACTTTGTAAAACTTTCAGCCAGAAATTGCTTGCTGCCTTATTCTTGTAAGCATGAAAGTAATTCACTGCACCTTGACAGGGCTTTGCACAAATAAGTTACCTAGATCCCTAGTTCTATTTGACATACTAAGTCTCGAAAGGCCTTTGAATATTTCCAAGTTAGTATAGCTCTTTGTTTGTATGAAAAATTGATCGGTTACAATTTAAAACTTTGCGTTATCATGAACCGAAATAAGCGTGCTTTATAGCTATTAATGCTGAATTAGTTGTACAAGTCCTTGGAGTACATTCATGCTATCCTGATCTATTCTCGCTGAGTTTTGGTGGCAGACATGGTAGGAGCTAAGACGTATACTTGAATAAAAATCACCAAACTCTAGGTCCTGATTAAGGAAAATTCAATCTCTCCTAATTCGCACAACCAAATTCAGAAAAAATAATTCTTCATTTCGTAATTTGGTTATCACTTTATTATCCTTTCTTTTACTTTGCTCGTAAATGAGTTAAAGTGATAAGGGGAAATCCAGATATCCATTTTCTTTTCTTAATGATGTGCAGTCTAAACGTGTATCTTAAAGCCCGTTATATTATGCACATAATCGTATGCAATATGCCTTTAGGGCTCACACTATCTTGAGATGTTATAGCCATATTCCAAACTCGAAATTAATTAAGCGCATTGGTAAACTTGGAAATATACTCCCTATCTGATATCTAATCCTACCAGGGACTACTTGAGTATATGAATAATTTATACTTTTTGTTTTACGTCGACTAATCAGAACTTAGCACTGTACTATGTCTAACTTTTGAACCAATATGAAGGTCGCATGCAAAATTACGCAAGCGTATTTCATGCAAAAAGCATACTAGATAGGTCGCTACTTTTTATCCCAAGCTATTTCGTTTCCTCCGTGACATGTTGTGTTTGAGTTCGGCTATTACGTGCCGCTTTCAAAACTTATCTTTCTTTTCTCAACCCTACACTTTAATTCAGCTGGTCCTCCTCTATTCGCTCAGGGGAGCCAACAATATATCATATAGACAAACCAAGGCGTTTTATTTTTGGGGGAAGCCTTGTCCACAA